CGAAAAGGCCAACGTCAAGCGACGTCCCAGCCGCAAGCCAAGAACGCCACGAAGGCGACGGCTGATGACGACCGCCCGCGTGCGACACCGCCCCGAATGTCCTGGCCCGAGATGCTTGCGATCGAAGATCCTCGAGGAGGACCGCATGCCCTCCGAGAACGGCCATTCGGCGTAGCGATCAGCACGCAGACAGATCGGGAGGCAGAGAGAGCCGAGGACTCCATCCATTTGCCGCCTCGAGGACCTGTTTACTGAGCCGTCGCTTCAAAATGTGGAGAATTGCAGTCTGCATGCTAAAATTCAGAGCTTACGCCGTGCATTCCTACCGTCAGAGCGTTAGGAGAAATCGATCGACCCCGTCATATCCGAGAGAGGAAACTGGTACTGATGGAACAAGGTCATACGATCAACCAGGACATGACCCACGTCTTCCAAGATCGGCTCGTCCCCGCGTGCCAGAGGGCGTTCGGCGAAAGGGACACCTTTGCCCTGTGGCGGAAGCACTTAGAATAGAGCGGCCAGGTTGTGCGGGACCTCACCTATACGTTCGATAAATGGAGAATGCACCTGAACGCGCCGATAACAGGGGGCCGCATGAGACAGGGGCGGGCCGCCGCGTCCAGCAGGAATGGTGGACGTGAATAAGAATACCCTGCCGGGCATGAACCAGGCTTGCGCGATAAACCAACGCCGGACCGTTCCAGGCCGCCCAGAAAGCATGTCCGGACAAGGAATCCAAGCATGCCGACTGGAAGGCGACGACGGCAGAGACGCTGGTCTGGTCGAAAGAGGGGAGCGAGCTACGCAGCTGCAGCTTGTCAGGTCGGAGAACCAAGAATGATGAGCAAGAGCGGGAACAAGAACAGCCGCGCACTGAGCTCTGCGCTGCCTTCCTCGACTGGAGGAGTTGAATACCCAAGCGGATCGAAGATCCTGTTCGTTGAGCCAGCAGGCGTCTATAGCCGGGTCTACGGGGCCTGCTCGAGACGCGGGCCGCGCCGGGACCCCTGCCCGCCGATCGGACTCGCTCGAAGGAGACGTAGAGGCACAGACCCCCGACCGAAGAGGATCCGCGATCGAGCAGAGCTAGAGAGCCTGCTGCTCCCGCCTCTGATGGCACACGACACGGTAAGTGGACTGGTCGGGGGCGATGCACAGGCGCTGGCCCTGCTGAACGGGAAGCAGACCCACGACGTGGTGGACACGATCCTCCGCCACACACGAGCAGGGAACTGAAGAGCATTGCTCGGTTACGCCCTTGACTTGCAGCCGATTCAGGAGGCCCTGGTGGCGTCTTCGCGAGCAGGCGCGAAGGTCGACGTGATGCTGAACGAGAAGGGAGAAGGAAATCAGTTCCGAACGGTTGTGCAAGGACGCAGCGCAGATGATCTGGGAGCTCGTCATGGAATCGGAGCCCTGTGGATACGGAGCCTCGAGGGAAAAGGGCCGGCTCCGCATTTGGCCGAATGCGGTTTTTCCTCCATCGGAGGTATATGCAGAAGCAGGGAAGACATGGGACACCGACAACAGTGGTGCTGCCCATGCGAAGGTGTTTTTCGCCCCTCCCTGCCTAGTGTTCGGCCCAACGAACTGGACGGTCGCAGGCTGTGGAAACCAAGAGCTTTCCTGCCTGCTCCAATTGGGTCCGAAAGGCGTGCAGGTCACGGACAAGGCGCTCCGCGCGATATTGCGCCGGTAGAGGCTTTGACTCTCCCGAACATGGAGAAGATGATCTGAAAACAGAGCCCCTTTGACAGGTAAGGACGATGACAAGAAAGTGAGTTGAAAAGGACCGCCAGCCATTTGCATTGCGCGTCTTGCCTTCCCCCCTTTGGAGGCCAGAGCTGACGCTGGGCGCTGCCTTAGCGTGGCGTGCGCCCTGGTTTGCAGTGTAGGACCTGCTTGGCCCTGCAGCCCGCTTTGCTGTTCTGAAAATTTGTCCAAGCAATACTGGCGGTCCGCCCTAGTGACCCGCATTCAAGGAGCAGTCGCGCCCTCGAGGGTGACGCGGTGCTGATGCCCTCTTCTCTATCGTGGAGTGGTGGAGTCGGGCGGTGGGGGCGGCTGAAACTGCTGTCAGCAACGATACTTGACCGCTCCGTCCCTCCAGCACCCCTCTTAAGAAGTGAGATGATTTATGAGGTCGTCGTCGTACGAAGGTTGACGACGACCGCTGGATTTGTTGCTCAAGGTCAGAGGGCCGTGAGCGGCCCCTTGGACACTGAGCTGTTGGATTTACAGCTGTATGCCCGACTGCCAGAAGACAAAACACCTACATCATATTGCCAGTGATATTATTGTCGTTGATCTCGCTAGCGTCGAGGTGTAGTGCGATATAACATGGGTAATATACCTATACGACCACCCTGCGGGTGATAAGGAGGTTGGGGCGGGGAGGGGCCCAGCAATGGACAACAGTGGTGAATGTTGTTGTGACAATGCCAGTGGAGATAGTTGCGGTGCCGCTCGCTCTTGGGAGCGTTGGATCATCATCATCATCATCATCATCATCATCACCACCATCATCAACATCATCATCATTATCACCATCATCATCATCATCATCATCATCATCATCATCATCATCATCATCATCATCATCATCATCATCATCATCATCACCATCATCATCAGAATCATCATCATAATCATCATCAACATCATCATCGGGACACCGACGGGACACGGACAGGACACCGGCGGGACACCGGTGGGACACCGCGCCGCCCCGGCCGCCCAGAAGGGAATCATTTCGTCCGGCCGCGCCTCAGCCACACGGGACACCAGCAGGACACCGGCGGGATACCGCGGGGCCCCGGCCGCCCGGAAGGGAATCATTTGGTCCGGCCGCGCCTCAGCCACACGGGACACCAGCGGGACACCGGCGGGACACCGCGGGGCCCCGGCCGCCCGGAAGGGAGTCATTTGGTCCGGCCGCGCCTCAGCCATAGGAGACTTTCTCTCGCCCGCCCACGCAGCTTCGACTCGCCCGCACGACACGCACGAACACGAAACCGAAATCGATTTCCCGGTAGGGGGGCTCTCCGTTCCACTTCGATCTCACCCCCCAACCTCCGACCCCTTAACTGGGCGAGCCCGCAAGGCTCGCCCTAGAAGGGAGGGCCTCGGACTTACAGGACTGGAATAGGGAATTGTTTCAGAAAACCACTTAGCCTGATTCAGAACACGAACCGAAAATCCTATATTTCTGCCCCAAAAGGCAACCAAAGGCCCCAAGAAGAACCCAAGCGGTCCAAAAGAGGCCCACGATAAGCCCCAAGAGGCCCCCAAGAGGCCCAAAAGAGACCCCAAAATGGCCCCGAAGACTCTTCATAACTGCCTCCAAGAGGCTCCACAAGGCCCCCAAACAGCTCCCAAGACGCTCACAAGAGTTCCCAGAGAACCCAAGAAGCCCACGACGCCTCGAAGGTGGACTCCCCGCCACTTCTGGGGATCGGCGGAGTGGCGTAAGCCTGTTGACCTCTTGAATGCATATGTTTGGGTGATGCCGATGGACCCTGGGAGGTCCCGAGAGCCCGTGAAACCTCCAGCGCCCGGTTCTGTCAGGACCCCTTTCCTTCACGGCGATTGTCGGTGCCTGAGCGCGCCCCTCCCCCCCGTCCTCGGCCGGCGGCCTCCAGAGCGCTCTCCCTCCTGCGAGAGAAACGATAAAGGTGGACTGGCTCGGGGGGGGGGGACTTGCTTGGCATCGGCAATACTTCGCAGATAGATCGGCGGGGGCGAAGTGCCCCCCAGACTTTGAACGCCAGAAACGCGCACGGAAAAGATGCAATGCCCAACAGCGATTCTTATCCAAAACCGACAGCGGCCGCCGTTAGGCAGGCGCCATTCTGTCTCAAACGGACAACGTCCACGGCGACACCGAGTCACCATTATCTTCATAACCATTCCGATCCTCCAGACAAACGAGCGGCGAGTGCGGTGAGCCTCGTGCCTCTCAGCCTCTCGGTCGAAGGGCACGGGCCTGCGGTGCAGACCGCGGGCCCCCGCTGCACGGCGCAACGCCCCGAGGTCCCGCGCAAGTCCCTCTTCGTCTGCTCAGCGCGCCGAGCGCCGCCACTCGCCGGCAGCGGCCGTGCAGTCGCGGCGCCAGCGCAGCGTCTGGCGACGAGCCAGAGGGAGTGGGCTGGGCGCGCCAGCATGGATTACTGCGAGCCCTGGGTTCTGCGGCGAGGGCGCCAGATCCACAGATCGGGGAGAGCGCCCCCCGAAACACGGCGCCAGTGCCGCCTCATTCGGGCACGGGGCGCGTCGATCTCGACTGGAAACGGGACCCGTCGCTAATCCACGCGCCTTGATCCACGGTTGCGTTTGCTCGAGTGGGGCGAGTGGGCGACCTGTAGGGGCAGGAGGTTCTTGAAATCCCAACCTTGGGACCTTTCTTGGACCTCGAGGGGGCACCCTCGTGGCCCTGGGCGGACGGAGACCAAAAAAAACTAGCCAGGGTAGATCTCGGGAGGGATCCAGGGACCTGTTTTGAGCGAAGTTTTGTCGTGGCCGGGGGGAGTGGGCTGATGTCCTCGGAGAGGAGGAGGTTTCTTGGAGTCCCCCTGCATTCCAAGACGCCATTGTAGACTCCGATCCCATCCAGGGAGCCCAATGTCCCCACCCCGCCTGGCACGCCGCCGAAGCTGACCTCACACCTCGCGAAGCATAGTCTGGGGGGCAAACGGGGTGCGGTCTGAAACGCCTGGCTCGTCTGGGGGGTGGGGGGAATGAACGGCCCCCCCACCCTTGACATGGAACGCGGAGTGCTCTCTCACGCTCCGAAAAGTTCTGAAATGAAGGAAGCGGAGGGTAGGCGGAGAGGAACGTATTCTCTAAGCAAGGACAGAGAGCGAGCCCAGTCCTCACTCCCCCCTCGCGGACCCGCCCAGACTTCCCCCCAGATGGGGATGTGAGGAGACGGCGCGAAAGCTGGGAGCGGCGCCCAGCTGGAGCGGACGTCGGCGGCGGTAGCGCGCGGGTTCCAGAGCAGCTCAGGCCGAGATGGCGAAGAACGGCCTGGTCTGCACGAAGCTGTGGAGCTTGCTGAGGAACGTGGTGCATTTGGAAACGTCCTCGCCGATCCTTGGCCGCCGCCGGCCCACAGCCCCGGAGAGCACGGCTCGAGAGCGGGCCGGCCACTCTGCCCTGGAAGGAGCCCCGAGGTGGCACTCCTTCTCTCGCTATCCTTCTCTCTCTCTCTCTCTCTCTCTGTCTCTCTCTCTCTCTCTTTCTCTCTCCCTCTCTCTCTGAGCACGGCCCACCGCCCTACCATCACAGACGCCGCGTGGCCGGCGCAGCCGCCGCGGGGGGCCAGAACAGCCGCTTCGAACCTGCCACGCGACTCGCCAAGCTCAACCTTGGGAGACGGGGCCACCTCTGCCCCTGCGGCTCACCACGCAATCCCGCCTGCTGGACCAGCTCGCAGCGTGGTGCCCCAGGACCCGCATCAAGCGCGCGGCATCAGGTCAGGCAACTGGAATGAAATGGTCACGCTATACGGCCCCTCGCTGCCGCCACCGCACGTCGCTCTCCCGCACGGGCACTACCTGTGGAGTCTGGACGCAGACGTCTGGATGCCGACCAAATGACGCCGACCACTTCTTCCAAGAACTGGCCGAACATGGTGGCATCGATCCTCCTCCCACCAGTAGCGCGGCACCTTCAGCGTGCCCGCCGCACTCTGGCCTACCTCGCTATATTGTCCTCCTTCGCCAAGAGGACCTTGGCCGCCTCAGACGCGCCCCGCACTTTCAAGGTCCCCCCCCACCCACTCGGGCCCAGACCGAATGCTGGGGAACCACGCCCGTCGTGCGCAGGGCCTGGCACGCCGCCCGGACGGCAACGCTAGCCCCTCCCGTCGCAGGGACAAGCCATGCAGGCCCAGGCTCAGCCTGCGGCGGACCGACTGACCCAGCTCAAGCGCCAGCTCGAGCACACTCAGGCCCTTTCCGACCACGTCCGCCGCACGACGCGACAACACCTTAACACGCTGCGTGAACTCCACGCCGCGGTCCAGCGTCGGGCCTCGCTCGCCCCTTCGGTGACGAGCGCTTAGCGCTTCCGCCTCCGTCGCAGCCGCCCTCCACGCGGCCCAAAAGCTTCTGGTGCGAAGCCCCAGCCCTTCCCCCCCTTCGAGGCCTGTGCACAAACTGGCAAGCGTCTACTGTGGCCTTCCGCACCGCGGGTCCTGAAGGGGTGCTGGATGGACGCCGCCACTTCCAGCGAGGTACCGGCACGCCACAGACGGATGCAGGCCTCGCTTAACCCAACCTGGTGGGCTCGGACTACTGCGTTGCGAGGTCACAGCTCCACCTTATGTTCGCTCGTGGAAGGTCCCCCTCGCCCCTCCCTCTCTTTTCTCCCCTGGCCGTCCGCCCAAGACGGGTGCGAAGGGCCCCCTTTAGCTTCGGATGCGGCGCGCTTGCCCGCCGGCTCGTGGACGGAACTCCACCCCGAGTTTCCGATCTCTCTCTCTCTCTCTCTCTCTCTCTTTGTTTTCTCTCTCTCTCTCTCTCAGAAAGGGGACTCTCTCAGATTGTGATTCAAACCGGCCTCTCGGGCTACGAGGCATCACAGCTTACGTCATTCGTACCAGAACGGACGTGCGTATTACTCCCCAGTGTGCAGCAGTCAGACCTCCCCCACTTTCGAGCTCTTTCCCGACGTGTTTTTACGATTACTATGCCATCGACGTTGCTGACAGTGTGTGATCAACCCACGATATTCCTGATCATTCAGACCCTTGTGAGTTGCAGGAAGGAGAAATGGCTCGCGGCGGTGACCCAGACATCGGCCGAGTACTCCAGGAACCTTAGCCCCGCGCTGTGAACGCTGGAGGAACAGTGGAGGCGCTTCCAGTACGACGATGCTCAACGACACGAGGAGGCCATCAACATGTGGATTACGAGCCTCACGTTCGGAGAGATACATGGCCACTCAGCAGAGTCAACTTCCAGTTCGGGCTCGAGGTGGGCTCGTCCACGAGCGAGGAGCTGGAGCAGCTACGATTCGTGATGCCATTGCCGACAGATCAAGGAGCAGCTCACCGTCGAGCTGCTGAGTTTGTCAAGACGACCCTCGAGAAGGGCAATGGCCTCTCGATGTGTGAAGCTGGGGCCCATCTACGACAGTGGCTTTGGTCCCGTCGTGACCATGGACACGTGCGTGCGTACATCTTTACCTTCCTCGCTATGATGCGTGAGTTCGTGGGTGACAGACCCTCGCATGCCCGATCCCTTCGAGGAGCTGCACTGTGGAGCACGATCGGTGTGATCCTCATCATGTCGGGCATATGCAGACTCCGTCACGCTCTATCCATGCCCTCAGTGCCCAGGTGAGCCCGTCGAGTGTATCGCATGCTACCACCAGAGTGGAGAAGATGAGTGCATGACTGGTCGGAACCTATTGTCTCGACCACCTTGTTGAGTGTTCTCGGTCATAGTTGTGAACCTCACAGAGCTGTAGTGTATGTTCTAGGATGTCACGCATCACAATACATCGGCAAGGCGTCTCTCAGAGCAGGTGCACTTCCTGGACTCCTGGGTCGAATCCAAGAGCATGTGCGTGCGCTCCTTCATCCGCGAATTCGACCAGGGAATCGACCGCGGTACCGAGAACTCAGACGCTCCAGAGGTTCCTTGTTCTTCCTTCCAATACTATGGACCCCGACCGAAGCAGCGAGTTTTCACTACGAGACGTTAGCCATTCGACGACTTCGACTGCCTGCGAATCTAGCCGGTGCGACAGAGTCCGAACAACTAAGTCTACGACGTGGCCTTGGCACCCTATACGTCCCTCCCAAAGTCAAACCACCACGACGACGCCCTCCCTCCTGGCGACGACCTCCTCCCCGACGGCTCCCACCTCCCGTATGGACGACAGCGACGCCAGCTCTACTGGAGATAGTACCGAAAGATGGTGTGGGACCCCTTGCCAAGTACCCTGGAGCCCTTTCGGAGCCTGCCCCCTACAGCGCCCTCTACACCCTGCAGATCCAGGAGACATACCACAACACAGGAGAAGAAGGCCCCCTATGGATCCTTGCTCCAGAGCGCCTAGGTCTATGTCTTGCTCTACTGGCTGGTAAGTGGCGGCCTCTTCCAGTATGCGTGTACCTTTCCAGAATGGAGTTGGGTGAGATCCTGTTTCAGGCGGCCGAGCTGGCCCCAGACTTCTTGTGCATTTTTAGTCGGGTGCGCATGGCCAGGTTTCACATCGATCAACACCTCAAAGGCTTGGGTCTTCCTGCCGCCCGAAAACCAGTCTTAAAACTACCCTTCGAGTTCCAGGCGCGGCACTTGCAGTATGTGGTGCTATGTGCCGCAAGATGCGTTTTGAGCCAGCCCGCACATGGTACATTCAACCTCCTCGTGTTTCCTGTCGAGCCCGCAGAGTCTAAAAAGACCGCGTTTCAGCCAGCCGTTTTTGTGCAGACTACCAGGTCGACTGGTTGCCGACCTCGGTGCAGGAGTCGAACTTCGTTTCGTGACCACTCAACTTGAAGCAACTACCAGGATCTTGGAAGCTTCCTGTGTGGCATGTTCCTGCAATATCGTTTCGGAGTGCGAAGTCGGGACTACTCGAGTGGGCCCAATCAGCCCGACTCGCACGGCCTGCGATCCAACGAGGGTTGGATTACTTGCAAGAAAGGTTTACGCTTCCCCTGCCGCGTGATCTTGCTGCAGTTCTCCCCCTCCTCAACAATGGCAACGCATGGAACAAGATCTGAATGAAACAATGTAGCAAACATGCAACAACCTACTGATTGCAGATGACAAACAATGTGACAAAAGTTAGGTGGGAGATGGCATTGATATCATTCGATGGCTTCATCGAACGGCCGAGCTAGATGAGGACTGGCAGGTACGCTATGACCTGTCCCGTCAAGATGCAGCGATTTGGCTGTGGACTAGGGCTCCCCATGGGCTCCCCAGTTGGCTCCGATCCCAAACAATGCTACCTCATCCCTCCAAGAAAACGGTGCCCCCCCTACCTTTTCCCCACGGTCAAAAGTAAGTGTTTCCTCCCTGACGGTACTAGGTGCTGTGCGAAGACTGGTCACAGTTGCATGCAGCGCATTGTGAACTCGGCGAATGCACCAGGCACAGCAGGATACAAGATCATTGGTCGAGCTGCCCGCCATCTCTTGCGAGTAAGTGAAGTGTCGTGTGAAGTGTTTGCCATGAAGGAGGCCTCAAAGGAAATTGCACGAGCGGTACATGATTTCGAACCCCCGTCTGATGATGTGTGCATGCGGTGCTCGTGTCCGTTGTCGTGCATATCTATTGTTGTGGCAGATGCGGATCAGGCATATGAACAGTGTAGTTCCACTTTGATTGGGAAAGCCTGGTGTGATGTGTCGAAGGAGATTTCCAAACGCCTGGGGACGGATGCGGTGCTAGTCAAACGAAGGAAAGAAAATAAAACATTAGTTTATTGTTGGTTATCTCTTGTGACGATTGGTGGGATTGTTTATGAATTGAGGGGTTTACCTATTGGTGGCGTACTTTCAGGGGTGGCTCTCTCAATACTACTAGCGTGGTTTGAACTTCAGGCGTGCAGGGTTTCTAAACGTTTTCGTAGTCTTGGGTTCCAGATATCATCGACATCGGGGAAGGTTAAGATCAGACAACGTCGATATGTTGACGACATTCTAGGTATTAGCAGGGTATACTGCAGGCAGTGTGTCTATCTTTACCTGTCCCAGGTATACCAGGTCGAGCTCTCTCCCGCCTCCAACATCGAGGACCCCCTGGCACCCTGTCTTGGCTGGACCTGGACCTGTGGCCCTCAGGTGACGGGGTATCCATTTTACCGAAAAACGAGAATCGCGTATGGCTTCTACGAGGTTGTGTGGAAGCACGACCGAAAACCAACCTACTTCCGTGGCCAGGTCGACCACCACGAGGCTTCAACATGATCGTATCCCTGGTTACGGGCCGTTTAGTTCGGGCCCAGTACATCGCCCTACCGGTCCAGGTTACGCTGTCTTGGGTCCTGGAGCTTGTGATAGAGTTGTCTTGGGGTATCCAGCGTCTATCTTAGTGGCCTCCCTACACGCGTGCCCCTGGTCCGTTGCCATCCAGAAGGCTCGAGTGATTGTGAGGTGCTGGTCAAAATTCTTCCTCCCCTACCACGTGGGCGGTGGCGGCCAACGTCAACCGTGGGTACGGGCGAACAATGGCCGTGACAATGGTGGGAAATCTTCGGGCTACCTTCAACTACCGTGGCCCAGACTCCAGAGACTTCCCCTGACCACGAGACCGCAGCAGTGATCGTGACCGTGACCGTGACCGTGTCCGTGACCGAAAGTACAGCCCTGAGCGCCGAGACCGCGATGATCGTGGAGAGGTGCGTGACTACCATGTTCACAGAGAGGTGCGTGACTTTCGTGATTATCGGGACGTTCGCGATCTACGGGACTATCGTGACCGACGAGACTACTACGACAGAGATGGTTCAGATCATCGTTATCGTCATGACGATCGCAGCCGTGGCTCAGGCAAGGACAGTCGTGGCTATGGATCTCCACGGGCACGCTCACGTTCACCAGGACGACAGGATGAGCACGTCACGTTCAACGACTACGTGAAGAGCTCGCGGCAGTTGACCCCGAGTTCAAGGCATCCCTCAAAGACAAGCAGGACAGGATAGAGGAGATGAAGCTGCGCAAGCAGAGCAACTCTGTGGCGCAGGCGATGAAGTCGAGCTTCGGGGACAAACTTTCCAAGTTGTTAGAGTCTGCGGACACTGACGGCAAAGGGAAGGTCAAGGAGAAGGAGGCGGATCGTGAGGTGAGTCCTACTCCTGTCGCCCAGCCCCCCGACAGCACGGCGCGCATGAAGCGCCCTGAACTAGGTTGGTTACAGTCCCTCGCCGGTGCCAAGAAGCAGTTACCCAACAGGCTCACATGGGCAGAGGCGGCGAAGGTATTAGAAGCGCGGATGTCGGACAAAATGGTGGTGGCCCAGGTCAACAAGTGTATCCGGGTCCACTTTCCGAAGCGTGCGGTGCCCGTGGCAATAGCACGCAGGATCAGCCTCACCCTGGGCATCATCAACGGGAGTGCCCTCTGAGAATATTCATCCTCTCTTTGGGACCCTGATTCGGACTCCGACATCGGAGACCAGTACCAGAACAAGTATGGTGAAATTTCGGATCGAACACCTCGTGAGTCGATCATGATCGGATTTGTGCTAGGTTTTCTCTCGGCATTTGCTGTTTCCTGTCCATGAGTGGAGAATGCTTTCGGTCCTGAAGGCGTACCTCAACTTGCATTGGACACACGCTAGGGAGGCAGGGACCCTGCAGGAGATAGTTAACATGTTTTCAGTGCCGTTCTCGATTGCCAACACTCAGGAGCAGGCAATCCTCCGTCACGTGATCACAGGTCTGGTTGGGGCCTCGATTCCAGTGATGGCAGGCCAGCTCCCCCTAGGAAGTGCAGTCACTCTCCTCCCCAAGCTTGTGTCCCCAACCCCACCCCCTAGCAATACACGGCAGAAGGCAAAACAGGTTTGTGATGCAGCTTCTGAGACTTTGATTTGACTAAGGTTTCGTGGCAGCGGATGCCCTTGACGTCTTCGTGTGCGCCGTGACCCGACTAGCGGCTGCCCCCTTGAAGGACGGACCTTAGAGCGTCCTCATGGGTGGCGTGCCCAGGGGTCCCCCTCCCTCGTCTCCCCCATCATCGGATCCAATCGAACCTTATGTCCTCCCCCTCTCTCATGACCGCCTTCAATCACAAGTGAGCCGTTCCCCCCTTAGCCACGTAAGTGATGTTAGTAGGTCTCGCAAGCTGTCCCTTGGAGACGAACACTGATCTATGTGCGTTTCTTTTGCGTCCTAGCCGCATGAGTGAGGGAGGTAGGTCTCGCAAGCTGTCCCTTGGAGACGAAACCCAAGCCGTGTGTTTTTGTTGTGTTCCTGTACTTCTGGACATCCTAGAGAAAAATGATTGTCCGAGCAGGTCAGAACCTGCACTGTGCTGGCCCATCCCTCTCAGCTCCAGTGGGTGCCGTACTACCCTCGCCGGTGCAGTACAGGCGAGGAGTTGTCCCGCTCTTTTCTGTCCCTCCTTCCTCTCTACTGTTCCCCATGTTAAGGTTACGTCGAGGTTCCCTCCAGGTCTCTCCTCCTCCCCGAGCCAGCCAGAGTCGGACGACCAGATCACGATCTTCCACAAGGCTCGCGTTGGGCCTCTCTCTCTCTCTATATATATATATAAAACTCCCACCCTGAGAGAGTCATCTGCTGTTCTTCCCCTTCCTTTCCATCTCCTTCCATAACGTTTTGGACCAGATTCCCATTTCGAGCGTGCCTTCCGCCCACGACACGCTCACAGCGGATATGCACGGTGTCAGCCTGCCTCCAGGCAAGCTCTCGAGGGATTGGTCGTGGGCATTGGTGTGTGCGCAGAAAGGGGACTCTCTCTCTCTCTCTCTCTTTGCGGCAGGCGTGCGAATGCCGATGGGCCGCAGAAGGTGTGGCAGCGCCAGCGTGTGCTCTTTCGCCGAGAAGCCTTCGGTGCGACGCAGGCACGAGGGCCGACACAGGCTGCATGCTATCGGTGGAGCTGAGCGGGGCAAGCACACACTGGGCAAACACACGTCCTGAGGATAACCGAGAATGTCAAGGTGGGGCGGCCGATCGTGGGCGGCCCCATCTGGCAGTGGTGGCCGAGGCAAGAAAACATAAGACAGCAAAACCAAAAACACACACGTGCACACAAACAAACAAGAAATAAAAAAAGCAACGAACACCGAAAAAAGTGCAGGTCAGAGGAGTACGATCAAGAAGGCGAATCAAGCCGCCGTAGTATAGTTCTGGAGGCTCTGCTGTTGAAAAGTGCGTAGCGATGGAAATGCATTCTCTTACTTTTGGATCAGTCCAAAACTCGCTGTAACGATAGAAACCAGCTGTTACGAAGAAAATCAGCTGCAACTCTTATTTCAGAACCCCTGCGAATCTCGAAACAAGCCTGAAAGTACCCGCAGAGACAGGACAGCGCCAGCAGAGTGAGAGCACGATCCCATCTCGAACACGATCATTCGATCCAGCCGCACTGGAAGGACTGTTGATCGCAGGTGGTCACGCACCATTGGCTCCTTCTTCTTCTTCGGAATGACTGTTTGTGTCAGCGTTCGAGCGAGAAACGCAAGGCGATAACCAGCGTGGCGGCCACGGCAGATGACTGTTGGAGACGCCCTCAAACAAGCATCCCAAACTCCCACCTCCCAATCAGCAAGGAGGCCCATCGAGCGTTGCCCTCACCAGATTTATCGAGATTTGTCGCTCTGATGCCCCTGAGACCTTGTCCATGAGTCAGGAGCCCTGGGGATCACTCCATGAGCCAGGAGCGCTCCTCAGGGCCGCGTGTTGATCAACGACTTGGCCCACCCAGAACTCCGACGTCTGGATCTTTCCGATGCGTCGACCCCCAGAGGTCTGGACCCTTCCCCGTGCCCGGTTTGTCATCCTGGGCCGTTCCTGGGGCCCAGCGAGGGCCCGCCGGAGGCCGAAAACGGCTCATTAAAACCACCCGTCCTGCGGACCGCAGCCCCTGACCCAGACCGAAGGCAAAACAAGCCTCTGCTGGCCGATCCTGGCCGCATTCGCCCCGCCAGGGCGGCGGGCGGCAGGGAGGGAGGAGGAGGGAAGAGGAGGAGGAGGAGGAGGAGCAGGAGCAGGAGGAGGAGGAGGAGGAGGAGGAGGAGGAAAGGACTTCCCGTTGCGGGCCGCGGCTCGCCGCCGAGAGAGGAGAGGGGCACCGAGCGAGCCGGGGGAGCGGAGCCAGAGGACGGGGACAAGTGCCGCAGCGCTGGGGCGCACCCGCGGCGTCGGAGGCTCTGCCATCGGCCTCCCTCCTCCATCACTGCCTCCTTGTACAAGCTGCGGCCGCCTCGGGGCAGGGCCACTCCCCTCTGGCAGTCCCACCCACAAGAATGGGCGGGGGCGGGCCTCCAGGAGCGGGGAAAGCTGGGGCAGGAGCCCTCCAGCCGCCCCGCCACGTCGCGATCGGGGCGCGGGGCTGGGCGCGCTCTGCGAGGCCGCCCTTCTCCCCACACACCCGCCGCAGCCCTCCGCCCTCGCCCCGCCCCCCTCGTGCAGGCACGGTCCCGGTGCCGCGCCACGCACTTGGGGGGCCCAGCCCCCCGCCCCCCCTGCCGTCGCACCCGCTCGCCTGCTCCCCTTCCCATCTGTGAGAGGCAACGCTAGGGGAGAACAGCTCAGGGGTGAAACACATGAGCCTGCAATCAGCGATACATCGCCAGTACATCGGCGATGGGCCCCACATAGCGAATCCCAACGTTCTTGGGCGGGGTGGTGCACCAGGCCCCAACCAGCGGGTCGATGCATCCCACCCTGAGACTACCACCCCACAAACGTTGCCCCTGATCTGCTCCCATCCCCCTCCCTGCCCCCGCCCTGCGCACGCACCCGCGTCCTGTACAGCGGGTTCTTGACCACGTGCTCCACGAACAGTTCCGCGTAGATGTGCCGGAGCGTGTCCTGCCGGTCCGGCGGCCGAGCTGCCGGGAGCGAAGGGGGCTCGCGCGGCCGCCGAGGTGGTGATCCTCCCCCTGGCCCGTTGAGCGGCCACGGGACAGGGGCACGGAGAAGAGGGAGCGCAACGGGGAGGGGAAGGCGGATGGAACAGCAGAAGCAAGGTCAGCCGGAGAATCAGCAGCAGCAAGAACAGGGGGAGGATGGCAGGAGGGGACAGAATAGGGGATAAAAAGAGCATGAGGAGCAGAACGAATGCAGAGGAGGACGACGAGGAGAAGTTGAGCAAGGAGAAGGCGGACATGGAAAAGAAAATGAGAAGAAAGAAAAGAATGCGCGCCGAACTGGCGATTCCCGGAATATTCAACGTCGGATTCGCTCCGCTAGTTGGCCTCAAAGCATGCGCATCGACGCATCGACTTTGGTTGCGTCGCACCTGCCTCCAAAGAGTCCCCCGAGAAACTCCCCACGATGTCCCAACGAACATCCACGAAGCCGCGCCCCCAAGAGGCCCCAAGAGACCCTCAACTTCCAAAAGAGGCCCGAAAAAACCCGAAAACGGTCCCCCATAGGCTTCAAATCTGCCCACGAGAGGCCCCCCACAAGATCCAGACGAATACGCAATAGACTTCATACAAACATCCCAAGCACGGTGGCGGGATGAGCCGAAGGCCATTGTATATTTGGATTGTCTCAACAGCGCGTCATCACGGCAGAGCCTCAACACATGCGAGACGGCCACCTACGTTGACTTGGGCTGATTGGCCGGACGCGAAGCCACCACGTGGGAATTCCCGCTACGGCGGGCGCCTCGCTGGGCCAACCGATCCACCGCATCGAGCCCAAGCACCTCACTGCGAGGCGGCATCGTGTAATGCTCCAAAATAAACTGATCGCATCGCGGGCGCCACTTGTCGCTCAGGCCCGAACGCGGCAACGCGGGCAGGTGGAACACTACATGAATTCTCGCAGAGGGGCCCAGACCCCGCGCTCGGCACCAGGAGGGGCGAGAGCACGTTCTGACGCGAGCGCAGCGGAGCACTGCTCGCCGCGACTCGCACGCGCGCGGGGCGTATCCATGCCCTGCGGCGCCGCGCGGCCATACACGGAGTGGCAAAAATGAGTGGGGGAAACGTGCCTCCCCTGTGATTGTTCGTCGCGCATCACAGCAGCCCGCTCGTCGGGGGCCTCCCTGGGGGGGAGGCGCTGAAGAATCCTCGGGCCTGTAAGAACGAAGCGTCTTGCAAAATCTGCGCAACCCATGGCGGCCGCTCTGGCGGGCCCCGTTTGGTCGCCCCGCGAAAGCGCAACAGGCTGATCAGGGCAGGCGGGCGAAGGCGCACCACGCGACCAACGCTACGCGATCACATTACCATCAGGAAGATTCGACTGACGGAAGATCCCTATAACGGCGCGCAGCTCGGCGCCGCGGCAACGCTCGCCCGCGGAAAAACGTGGGCCGCCATGGACGCGCCGAAAGCCGCGCATATGCACACGCAGGTGAAGCGCCCAACAAACTTCGGGTCCAGCGCGAAGACGCGCAGGTTGGCAGCGAGGCGGCCCAACGCCAAACTACCAAAGAAAACGACCCGGCGAGCCTCGGAAATCACGTCGGAGCCACGCGGCTCCACGGTCAAAGGGGCGCATGCTGCCACGGCGCTTTTGGCGCGCTGGACGATGCCACTCACGCCCATTCCACCGCGGTTCATCATGAACCCCGGATGCTTACACGGCGCAACGATGCGGAGGGTCCAGTCGTAGCCGCACGGGGCCAGGGGGATTTCAGGGTCGACGTCGCTCTGGCGCCACTGCTCGCAAGCCGCGGCGGCCCCCGTGCCCCGGAACCGCGACGCGCGCTCAGACTTGCCAAGGGCCCGGTTGAGCTCGAGGCGGCACGCCCGGAAGACAACAGAAAGCGCGCCATGCAAGATGACGACGCCGACGGCATTGCTCCACAGCCGCGCCGCCACTCCCGCGGTCGACGAGCCCAGAGCAGGCCATCCGGCGCGCGCGCGGAAAACGATGCTGGCACGCTGGAGACGCCAATGCAGAGCGCCCAAGGCGATGCTGTAGGCGATGCTTACGACTACAGACCCTAAGCAACATCATTGCCGCCATCCTGTGCGAGACGAATACTGATTTTGGCCTCCGCGCACACGGAACCAAGCTCCTTCGCGAGAGGCGCGGATCACCCAAACAGCAGTAGGGGGTAGCCGCCACTGTCCAATAAAAGGGCCGCGCTCCTCCAAGCACTCGATAATCCACCCTGATGCGGCCGCGGACACGCCGAGCTCCCGCGGGAACTCTTGCCGGAGAGATTGTGGCACGTGGCCCAATCCCCTGCCCAGCCGGCGTATAACCTCGTCAAAGGCCCTGACAAGGTCATGGAACAAGATGAATACACCTCAATGCATCACCTCGGCGACAGCATCCATGGAAGAGACGACGCGGGTCGCAGAGTCGGCGCCGCGGCCGGCCACTCCGCCGCGCTGGTCACGAGGCCTGCGGTTCGCGCAGGCGCCCTCGACAGCAGCCTTGCCCAGGAGGACCGCGCCGAGCGACTCGACCGAGAAATGCCAGCCGCGCGCGCGTGAGCAGGCAGTCCACGGACGGAACCTTCAGAATCCGACGCACGCCAATATCGGCAACGCTGGGGCCGAACCTGCATTCGCCAGCGAGGCGACGGAGGCCCCGCATGCACATGGCGTTCAGCCACGAGAGAAAACACGCGAAATGTGGACGTTGAAGATATATATATATATATAATATATATATATATTATATATATATATATATATATATATATATATTACGCCAGGAATGACAATCTCAAGAGAACACCAAATTTGCTGTACAGGTGTGCACACATGTGGTACTAACCACAAGCTGAATGATCAGGATGAGACGCGGCCAATAATCTGTCCGTCAGCCCGTCGAGCAGGAACAGCGGCGATATGATGGCTGCGGCCTGCCTGCTGGGCGTCACGACGCAAGTCGCGATCAACCAGGTCAAGTTGCTGAACTGTACTGGCACTGAGCCGAGACAGTGATCGAGCACAAAGGTTCGACACTTAGGCCGGCGCGTGTCAATTAAGTGAGACAGAGGGCGGAGGCGCGAGACATAATCAGTCCCACAGCATGGGCATGTGGATCCAGACACATAGAAGCGTACCTCATTGCGCTTCCCGTGCTTCGCACGCTGGTGGGATTCGAGTCCGCGAGATGAGCTGAAGGCCTCGCCGCACTTGCCAACACGTGCCTCTACTCCAGGCGTTGGGCGCAGGGCAGGAGGCTGATCGCACACAGAGTCTGTAAAAGGAAATGCGATCAACGAATGATTCCCGAGCATCTTCATCGAGCACACGGCGCTCCCACGCCGGAGGATCATCGGCAAGGGCGGGCAAGTCAGGAAGGAAGTGGGGCCGAAGAATCCGCCTCCAGGGCGTGGATCCACCGAAGTTTTTTGCCCTTCGGGCGAGCGTGCAATACGGCAATCAGCGCCCGCGGCCTCGCGCGCACAAGGCGGGCGCAGCATTTCAGACGAAGCTTAGCAATCAGACGCTCAATCGAAGGCTGGCAGAGCGCCCCCCGTACCTCGCGGCCCGCGCGAGAGGTGGCTGCAAAACGAGGTTCCCCCAAGATCCTCCTGAGGTCGGTCATGTAGACTGCATTTAAGCCCTTCAGGTGGCGAGGAGAGGGCGCAAGAGAACATGCATGCTCAAAAACAGCCGAATGAGCAGCAGACACTGCATGAAGTACAATGCGCGACAAGTCTGGATGAGACGAGAAGCAAGCACTTTACATGAAACCGGGCCACACGCAACGAATGTCTTGGCCGCCTTCGCTCGCACGCCAGACATGTAAGCACGATGGGGGGACGAACCACCGACTAAGTGCTTATAAGAGCTGACGACGCTAATGAACACTACCGGGGACAGAGATACGGAGGGCGCCATTACTCTGACGGCGGGCTTCTCGGCACGCCGTGGTCTTCGGGCCCCTGCACATCAAGAGTGATTCCGCGTTGCTGGGGGAGGCATTGAACTGGAAGTGCAAACGGCCGCTGCGGGGCCCCGGGGAGGCGGGCGAGGCCCACCCTCCGACCCAGCACAATTCAAGACTCCCTCGGCTGGTTGTCACTCCCCACACTTCGTGTGCTACGCAACAACCGTCGCCTCGGTCATTGCTGTCATTGCGACGGGCCCACCCCCCCAAACTTCCCCTCTGTTTTGGCGGCGGCGCGCCTCACCAGCGCGCCCGGCCCACAGGTCAGCCACCCAAGCGCCCCAACACAGGGGAGGGAAGACCACGGCCTTCCCGTTCTCCACCCCTGCGGGCGACTAGAAGGCGCACGCGGCCCACCTGCCGCCGCCCTATCGAAAGGAAGGAGAGGGCGGCCACGAATCCTGGACGCGATAGCTCGCACCGCCATCCGTCGAATTAGCAGGAAAGCGTGGCCGGGAAACCAAAAGGAGCTGCCTGGACAGGGGCGGAAATTCGGGCAGTTATTATGCCTCCCCACAAGCTTTCGCCCTCCTTCCCGAGCAGCTCGGGCAAATCGGCACCTGGACAAGAGGCGCGCGCCCAGTCTCGGCGAAGCGCCAGCCACACACAGCGCGCCAAGAACTGACCAGCACATCGCGGCCTGCGACGGCTACCACATGGACTCGGCCCTCCTTCCAGGAAGACCACACCAAGTCCCCGGGTGCCCAGCCGCCCGGCGCCCTCCCGGCGCAACGCGGGGCTTCGCAAGCGCCGCATCGCACACCCCTAAGGCACGAAATGTGGAAAAGGAAAGCCCCGCAGCTCGAGCACTCCCCGCCTGGGAGGCGGCCCCCAGGGACCGCCGCTGCTAGGCGCCACCTGCAGGTGGCAGCACGCGCAGCAGGGAGACCGCAGCTCAAGCACGCGGCAGCTACGGCGGCCCGAGCAAGCCCCCTGCCCGAGTCGCCGCCACGCGGCCTCTCACAACCAGCACCTCGCTCCAGCACGTCCTCCTGCAGCTC